TGATGTAAATTTGAGGACAGAGTGACTTTCAAATTTGTTTTTAAGTTATGTAATTTGCTCAATATTTTTAGCTAAAACAAAAATGTCATCTATGTATCTTACATATATAGAGGTTTTATTAATGTCATTAAGTATTTTATTTTCTAAATGAGCCGTATAATAATTAGAAAAAAGGAGCTCTAAAGGAGATCCCATTGCAATACCGTCTATTTGAGTATAAATATTACCTTAGAGGTCATGTAAAGGTACTTGAATGGTACATGCTAATATTTTTTTTTAAATAGTGGGTTTAATATTGATGGATGGGAGAGAAGTGTGATTGTATACATCACGGATAATGATGTCAGTCGTTTCATGGACTGAGACATTAGTAAATAAATTTTGTACATCCAAAGATGCGATTATTTGGTTGCTTGGTTTTACAGAATGAAGAATTTGTATAAATTCATTTGTGGAGTTAATACAATATTTACTTGGAAATTAGGGAGTAACTAATTTGTTAAGAGTTTTTTTAAAAGGTAATATAATGGCGTAGGTGTTTGTAAAATGATAGGTCAGAGGGGATGATCATTTTTATGGATTTTTACATTTCCATAAAGGTAGCCAGGTTGATAGTCACCTATAATCTTTTGAAATTTATAAGATCCTGTTTCAGCATTGTTAGCAGTAATAAGTTTATTGATATGGTTTTTATTTTCGACGGTGGTGTTATTAGTTAACTTTTTTGCAGCTGTGTATAAATCAACATTGTCCCCTAACTCTGGGTCACTCTTCCATTGTTCAAACTGCTCAACATGCAATTCAAATCGTTTATGTGTGAATTAAATCCTCAATTCTTCCCACGGTTTTTTGGTATTAACCCATTACGTTTCAATGTCTCTCAGCACATAACACTTTCTATTGATAAGAAAACTTTCTTATGTTTTATTTTACCGCGGTAACAACAAATGGTATTACATTAAACCCATTAATAATAAACAAGTAACGCTCATCATATATTATAAACATTTAAAACAGTTGACCTTATAGTCTCTAATAACCCGACGACCACACAACTAAATCCTCTACAAAAAAAAAAAAAAAAAAAAAAAAGAACACAATGTAATGTATCAATTTACATGCCCGTTCAGAGATTGTATCTCTGATGATAATAATAAACCCACTACATACATTGGTTTTACTACAACCTCGCTCTCCCGTAGACTTACCTGTCACCTTTCTGATCTTAGTTCTATTAAACAACATTTCTTAGAAAAACATAGCCATGTACATAATATTAAACATATATTAGTTGATAGCACAACAATACTCACACATACACACAGTAAAAAGAACTTTCAGATATTGGAGACCATCTACATCAAAACAAAGCAACCCACACTCAACAAAATTACATTTTAAACTAGTCACAACACATTATCTTGCATCTAGACATATGGTTCTGTTGTTAATATTTCGGTCTCTCGCATGGTACAACGTCATCATGAATTTACAATCTGTGTCCGCTATTCCGCGACCGTTATCGTTACATAGCAATCTTCTATGTCAACATAACAGAATATAATTTATGATGGTGAATATCTTTGTTTAAATGTCCATACAACCACGATGAAAATGGTTCACGTGAGCCGAAAGGCTTAGATCGACGAACAGAATAATAAAAAATATTCAAATGTTGTACAATTTTTGTCTTTATTTTCGCCCGAAATTAAAGCAACTATACGAAGTTTAGAACGGCTCTTGATCAAACATAATAGACATTGGTGGTCTGTTATATCTAACAATATATATATATATATATATATATATATAAATATATGAGAAAAGATGAGAAGAGAGTTGACGCAAAAGTTTTTGGATGTAATGTTTTTTTTAGAAAAAAATATTATGCTTTATTTTCCATAATTTTACTACATGTGTTTCTGGTCTCGTGACCGTCTTCAGGTAAAAAGGCGGAGATTTCCACATATTATTAAAAATAATTAATTTGTTTCTTATGTTTTTCAATGTTAAATATTCTCGATATGAGACATTTTCTGTTTTTGAATTTCTTTCTTGAATTGATAATGAAGAGTTCTGCGCGAAGGGTCATAAAACAATTAAGGTTGGTCCAAGCGAAATGATGAATTACTTATCGGCATTTTATCTTTTAATGACCCCTGTGTGTTCTTAGATCTGTTTCCATAAATTGATGCCATTTTATATTTTTAATTTTTCGCGTTGTTTGTTTTTGATTTTGTCGACTGCACAGTATAGTGGGGTCACTTGGACACCGTCTGTGAGAAAAAAAAGCACCATGACACAATTCACTCCGCCAGAAATTTGGAAACAGCATGTTGTACTGCTTAGCATTCGGGTCAGAAGCCCCAATACGAACATTTCAGTGTTTGGGTGTCAATCTGAGGATTTGGAAAGAGTTGGATAAGTGATGGGGTAAATGCTGGTTATGTTGAAAAGATTAATGTGGCTGCGTGTTGAAGAGCATTTAACATTTATACATTTTTTAAAATCAAGGAAATACAATGGAAAACCGATTTGTGTTTCAACGATTAAATATATATTAAAATCAACAAATACAAAGCAATTTTTGCAGTGTGTGAATAATAAGGAGAAAAAAGTAGTTTCCCTTTATCTGTTAGTTGAATTAGGAAATGTAATTAAGCAAGTTTTCTGAATAGAATGTTCAAAGTTCTGTATTGAAATAAAATGTGTATTCAGAAGAACATACCGTAAGTTCAATTGTGTATTTTGTATAACTAACAGAGCTGTTGCAATTTGGCTTGTTCACAAAGAACTGATGGTGAATGATATTCAAGTTCTGTGTCTGTGTGCGTGCGGAGTGAGTAGAATGAATAGTCTGTGTAGACGCGTGTGAGTTGTTGAGTTCTACTGTCTTCAATTCTACTGTCCAATTTGGGAACGAATCCGGGCTTATATTATTACCGGTAGGCTCCCAGCACGAACGCGGGATAAATTTTGAAAGAACACAAAAAATATCTGATTGGATGAAAAATTAATAAATCGGTGATTTTATAACAAAAGTATGTTTGTGAATTAACGGTAGGAAAAATTCAGTGTGGTGAATGCGATCAGTAAATTGTCCTGGGATATTTAGTATTTATTATTTATCCAATCACAGTTGAGAAAAATGTAGGCGTGGCAAAACATAGTTGTAATCACTACAATGGTGTTTAGAGTGATCACTAGTGATGGCGACGTTGTGCCTTCATTTATCTTTTCACTGGGCCTTAAACTCAACACAGAAACCTACATCAAGTGCGTTGAGGAGGTAGCGCTTCTCTATGTCTGGCAACAGGACTCTGCCACAGAAGCAGTATAACCCATTCATGGTTGTCAGACATCACCCCTTACATCTGGCCACCTCACTCCCCAGACTGTAACCTCTTTGAATATTGTCTATGGGGTGCTGTTAAACGGCAGACCAGCAAAACTCCTTGTAACACCAAAGATGACCTGGAGGCAAAGATTATGGCAGCATTTACCAACTTAAACATGGAGACCGTCCAGAAGAGTTGCAGGAGATTCTGAAGCTGTTTGGAGGCTGTGGATGAAGCCAATGGCGATTTTATTGAATAAACTTACTCTTTAGTATTTCAAGATACTTTTGTGTAATTTTGGTAAATATATCTGTTAAAATAAGATGTCATTGTTATTTTAATTTGGCTGTAATTTAGTCGACATTTTATCCATCGCACCCCTGTATATGTATCTAAAAGAAGTAAATAATGTCACATCGGGAATATCACCTGTTAATGAGGGTTAAATATATCATGTCACCGTGGTCACCGAATAATGACAGTTAATAATATCGCATCACGTCGGGTATCATCAGCTAATTAGTTGTGAATTAATAGAATATTTTCCCAGTTTGAAATTCCTCCATTATAGGCATTATTATATCTATGATATAATTACACCTTATTTCATGGACGGAACTTCTATTTTGCACTCTCTTTCAACCAGAAATAAAAGCTGTTGAATAGTTATTTCGCGCCTTGAATTTTAGTCATTCGACTCTCACCGCCGAGCACACACGCTCGTATGCAACCGGGGAAAATTCCTACAATAGGGAGAATTCTTATTTGGATTTTGGGAAATATTAAAGTAGATTTTGTCATATTGTCCCGGAGGTAAAAGGGTATGTTGATGAAGATCTAGTCTTACGAAATCTCAATGAATTCTACTTGCTTTATTTCAGGTTCAAACTTACCTGAATTTTTTTCCATACTCATTTTATGGCTTAAATTTTAACACTTCCAAAACGAGACTACTATTGTTGGGGATGTGCAGAATTAATTAATTGTAATTGAGTGAATCAGAAGGAATTTGTGTAGGTTGCGTGACTTTCTGCATCCACAAACAAATAAATAAACGAATTTTAAATACAATCAAAAACAAGACATATTCAATTTAGAAACCAACCAAACATTTATATACAATTAAAAGTAATATATATGCAGGATATTTTGGTATATGTTACTATGGCAAAGTGTGTGTGATATTTGAGGTTTCGGTATGTCTCTTTTTGTATTTGTATGTTCAGTTACAGTCTTTCTAGAATTGTGTTAATTAATATTAAAAATGTCGATGTTCAGTGTTTTTAGGAATGAGTTCTTATAGAGTGGTCTACCTTTGACTGTAATATTTCTGAATCGTTCGAATGTTGATTTTTACTTAATAATGTAGTGAATATAGTTCACTATTGGATAAGCAAAGTTGTTTTAGGTTTTTGATGTCCACAGAGTTGGTCGAGTTTAAATTGCAAGTGAGTCAGCGTTGATGTGCTTTTGCGCGATAAAGTCGTGATTTCGAGTGACGTGGAGTATGTTGGCAATTTCTCTGTGGATGTTCGTCTCTGACCCTTTTGGTCAGTCGGTGTTTTCTTTTATATGTTTTTGAAAGTCCAAAATCGGCTCAAAGAAGTTTTGGCGCAATTTTGTTTTGCACGTGAAACTTTCAGATTATTGTGTCGTTAACCAATGAGATTTGTTGATTCGCCTAGTACGGTTTTTTATTGGTCGAAGTTTTCCGTACGTCGGCGTAAGGTATAGACTGTTCTGTTACTAGGGGTGATAGGTAGAAAAAGACGAGTCTACACTATTTTTAGTCATCATAGGGCATTATTTTTGCCTACCATTAGCATAGCAGATGCTAAACTCCAGATGAGCAACTCTTTGAATCTTCATGGTTTCACGTTTTCCACTGACATGAAGTGGAGTGATTATATTGAATATTAGGCCTGTTTCTTGGAAAGTTAGCTCACTGTGTCGTGCTAGAAACTTCTCGCCAGATTTCTTCTTGTACGTTTATAAATATACCTTTCGTCTGTGCATTGAATATTGCTGTCATACTTAGTCTGGTTCCCCCTGCCATATATTTCGATATCAAGAAAATACAATAAAGGTTCTGTTATGTGTCCTGATGTAACTTCCTTGTCAAGAAATAAATACTTTAATGGCAGTTGTTCTAAGCTTTCACCGCTGCTACGTCAACTGAATTAATTGAAGCTTACTACTAGATTGTCAACTAGCTCTCACCGTTTTAGTGTCTAAATAGCTAGATGCAACCGTAAGTTCTATGCTAACAGTTTCTTCTCTCGTACTTCTCCCCTTCTGGTTTCTTAATTCCTTGTTTGTTTTGGTTTATTTTGTTTTACGCCATATCAACCTCAATGTGTTATTTAATGTCTACAAGGTTTTAAGATATGTTCGTATGAATAGAATATGTATTCTTTGTAAGAAATCAGTTTATAGATCAGATTTCATTGACGTAAAGAGGGTTTTTGTCGAGAGTTAAATGTATTGCAGGTAATATTTTTCAAAAAATGTATTGCTGTTAATATTTTTTTTAAATATGTATTGCTGGTAATATTTTTAAAAAAAAATGTATTGCTGGTAATAGTTTTCTTTTTTCCAAAATGTATTGCTGGTAATAATTTTTTCCAAAACGTATTACTGGCAATATTTTTTTTTTCAAAAATGTATTGCTGGTATTTTACTATAAAGACCTAATGTTACACTTTCATAGTGTATTGACCCCCGTTTGGTGGTTAACTATTTGCCCATAGCTGGGACCTTAACAGGTACTACCACCCCGTGTCCGGGTGGACATGGAAATATCATCAATTAAGGGGTAGTTCCACGCTCCTCAAAATATCCTGATCAGATGCCTTGCTGTAGTTTATCGTCATACCCAGGTTGCTTGCTTCCCTATCACCTATCTTCAAAGATTTAGATGCAATGTCAATCGCCATCTTCTGTCATCTTGAACCCGGCTCTTTTATTGCCCTTTCTCCTCATTAGCGTTTAAACTTCTTCAATAAATATTGTCATGGCAGTGTATGGTTTGAAGGATTTCATTCAAATGTGATCATCTCACGAGGATGTGAATGAGTCTCTGTCTTTTCCTCTTGGGTGGACCGCTTATACCTCTTCCTAATATCCGATTATGTGCACACCCTAAAATCAGCTGGGCCGACCACCTGTTTACCTGCCAATTTATATTGAAATTCTGTAAGATATAAATCTAGTGGCTGCGATTACACCTTCCAAGTCAACTCTAGTCCCTATTTTTTTACATTTCTAGAAAGATAAAACCCAGAAAATGATGCTTAAAAATGTAAATGTTTAAAGATTTCAACGCACGAAAAATTTTCCAAAAACTGAAATACTATTTTTAAAACAAATTTTGAAAACAATCCCCTTTGTGTTGTGTTGGAATCTTTGTAAAACTTTTTTCAGCGGAGATGAGTCGGCGATTAATCTTTATAGAAATGTAAAAAATTGCGACTTAAACATTTTTTTCGAGTAAAATATTGGAGATTATTACAAAAAGAATTTCTGAGAAAAAAAAAATTATCCATTATAAAAGTAAATAATTAATGAAAATGTACTGAAACTGTCATTTAAATTGGATAATTGCCTGATTTTTGGTAATTTAAAAAAGCGCTGCTCTTCCCCCACAATTTTCTTTCAAGGGTTTGTGGACCCCAGGTTGGGAAACTTTAAATCGACATGTAGTAGAGAGAGTGGGGGCAGTTATCAAAAAGCAGCCCATTCGGCATTTAGTTTCTGCTGTATTAGTGAAGAACAGATGTTCCTAAACTTTTTCTATTCAGGACCCTCTTTACAATTTCCAGAATACATAAAGTGATATTTCTCCACACAAACTTAAAAACTGCTTGTTTTAAAAAAAAAAACGAGTTAAATTAACTTTCGGAAAAAAATAATGTTTTGTAAAAAGAAAAATTTCTGTGCATACATATATATTTTATTTTTTTATTTTTTTTAAGCGTTTCACCCCAGGCAAGGCAGGAAGCCACTAGGACGCAAGGGGTTACAGAAAATTTGGAGCAAGATCAGATAGGAGTGATAGAAGAAAGGATGAGGAGAAGGGTAGTGGATAGATCAAGGCAACTGGAGATGTCGATTGACATTACATTTGAATAGCTGGAGATTATAGCTCTCAGGGAAACTGGAATAGGGAAGGGAGTTCCACAGGCGAGAGGTGCGAGCCATGAAGCTATTGGAGTAGAAGAGACGGCTACATTTAGGAGTTTCAACAGTGAAAGGGTGAGAGCGGGTTGCCAGCCTCGTAGGGCTCTTGAACTCATGAAGTCTGGAAACCAGCGAATGCAGCTCCTCGGAGCAATTGCCATGAAAGTATTTGTAAAACATACAGAGAGAGGCGACGGCGCGTCTGTGAGAGAGTGACTGTAGACGAGATGTCAGATCACGGCCAATTATATTGCATATCCGCCTCTGGAGCCTATCAAGAACCCTGAGGCAAACAGAAGGGGCTCCAGACCATATATGGCAGCAATACTACATGCAAGGGCGAATTGTTGATTTGTAGATATGGAGGATCGATTCCGGGGAGAAAAATTTCCTGACACGGCACAGGGAACCAACTTTCCCTGCAATTGACTCAATGTATTTGTTCCATCTCAGGTCAGCCGTCAACGTGAGACCGAGCAGCCGCAGAGAGTTGCTCTCGAGAAGTTGAGCGTCAGACATTCTAATGGGGGGTAGGGAAGGATTTCTGTGGTGATTAATAGAGAGCAGTTTTGTTTTTGAAGCATTAAAGTTGACCAGCCAATTACTACCCCAGTTCACAACCGGTTGGAGGTCCATTTCGAGACGCACGGCCAGGTTAGTTTTGTCAGTGACACTAGATTTGTTTTTGAGGCAGGAATAAATTGTGGTGTCATCCGCGTAGATGCCAACTTGGGAATTTATGGCGTCAGGAAGGTCATTTATGTAGATAAGGAATAGAGTGGGGCCTAGGATGGAGCCTTGAGGAACACCTGCGTTCGTGGGATAGAAACAGGAGAATCCGTTGAGAACGACCTTCAATTCACGGTTCGACAGGAATTATTATATAATAAATACGAATGTCAATGTGTCACCTGTGTCACACTTTTTCAACTTTGCTCCTAGAGGCAGTAGCCCAACATATCATACCATTTTGGAATCAGGCCGACTCTGTGAGCAAATTAAAAACATTCCGGACAGGATCCGGACCTGCAATCTTGAAATTTGGAATTCCCAAGTTTTCATTTCTGCAATTGTTTTCAGATTCCGCCATGTTGTCTTAAACTGATAAAAACAATTAAAGGAACATAAATCTCTAACTTTCAATCGCTCATGTTCAAATGAACAAAATACTGCTCTCAAATTACAGTGTTTCAAAATAAAATTGTCCGTGTTTCCAATTTTAATCCTAGAGGCCGTAGCTGAACATATACCATTTTGGAATCAGGCCGACTACATGAGCAAATTTTCGGGACCCGCAATCCTGAAATTTTGGGTTTCCAACCTTTCATTACTGCGATTGTTTTCGGCGATTTTTACGTGTTTTTTGTTTGTTTTGTTTTTTGTTTTTGTTTTTTGCTACGAAATATAACAATTTTTATAACTTGAACATAAATTTGGGAATAATCAAAATTAATTACGTAATCCAGCGAAAGTCACCCATGAAATAAAAATAATTGTTTGTACGGCAAGTAAGGACCTACGTACATCAGAATGTCTTTAAATTAAGTGGCAGCAGTAAGCGCAGCGATCAATTTTCAGTTCTTCTGAAGTTTATTGTTGCCTATCGCATCTAATCCTCCCTACCTATTGTGATGAAGGCACAATCAAAAGCCCTCAGATAGAGCGGCTTTTATGCTAATTTTACATAAATGCACACTAGTAACGTAAAAACACTTGAAAATTATTTTATTACATAATTTAAGTTTATTAGAACTAGAGAACAACAGGGTTGTAACACTGTGGTCCTTTTTTTACTGAAATTGTGGCCCCCACAATTTTCTTTGGTCCCCATAACATTTACCAGGGCTCCTTTGTAGCCACGTGACTCCCGATAAAAAACTAATGGCCAAGAAGGTCCAAAGTGAACACTATTCGAGATTACAAATAAACAAAAATCGCATTGTTCAGAATAAGATAGCGTCGTGTTGGAGGTTGCTGCACTTCAAACATTATTAAGCTTATTGCCATATTACATTGAAAAACGTTAAGTAATGCCAAGCTTAGTCAGTATCTAGACCGCTTGGGAATACTGAGTGCTGTAAGCTTGGATGTTCGGGTGGTATAACTGGATTACGGCTACATCACATTGAAACATATGTTTCTGTACGATCAGCGAAGTTAAGTAACGTCAAGCCTGGCTAGTACCTAGATCTGTGACCGCTTGGGAATATCAGGGGCAAAGGAAGTCACGGAATCAGTCCCAATCATCTTGTTGATAACAGAAAGATATTCTGTTGGTTGAAGGCTCTTGGCTGGTGGGAGAGCGGAAAGAGATGTTTACAGACACTACCGCATGATCAGAGATGCCAAGAGGACAGAGCTGCAGCCTACGACATGAGTCAGGGATAGAGGTAAATAAGATATCAAGAAGAGAAGCGTGTCCATCAGGCTCTTTTGATTGCAATCTGGTCCTCTGTTGGTGGAGATTTCTTTTTGTGAGGCACACTGCTGCTGTATCCGATAGGCAACAATAAACTACAAAAAAAAACTAAAAAATGATCGTGGTATTTAAGTATTGCATTATTATTTAAGATTACCTTTTAAAAGTTCAACGATAATTCTTCTGTCGCCACTTAATTTAAAGATAATTTGATGTGCGTAGGTCTTTACTTTCTGGAATGTTTTTAATTTACTCACGAAGTCGGCCTGGTACCAAAGAGGCATGATATGTTGGGATTAAAGTTGGAAACACGGACAATTTCATTTTGAAACACTGTAATTTGAGAGCAGTATTTTTCCATTTGAACATGAGCGACCCGGAATGTTTTTAATTTGCTCAAGGAGTCGGCCTGATTCCAAAGTGGTATTGTTATGGGCGCGTGTTCATTGGCGCATATATCTTTTGTATTATTAATGATTCAAGAAAACAACGAAACTCCAAATATGAATCAATAAGTATATATTGAAATAACATACAAGAACAAAATATACAATAATTTGTATTCAATGTATAGATTAAGGGAAAAGAAGTTGCTTCCCTTTTACCATATTTTGATTTGTATTTGATTGTTCGAAAGAAGCTTCTCTCGAGAGAGAAATGTTCAGGAATCAATGTTAGAACAAGTCTGCTGTTAGAATAGCTAACACAAGAATACAATTGATCAGAAAGTGTGTTGTGTTAGAGAAATCAACAGAGTCTTGGTTGATTGAACTTGGCTGAGTCGCAGAGAGATATGTATATATGTATTACAAAATTCTGTGTCTGTGTGTGCGTTTGAAATATTGTAAGTCATAGGTTTGTGTTGACAGGGGGAAATTGCTGGACTCTACTGGTAGCTTGTGAAAAAGTCGCCTCTTTTAAAGCTACGGAGAGGCTCCCAGCGAAACCGTGGGAAAAGTTGATTTTGCACTAAAATATGTGATTGGTTAAAATTTGACCAATCGCTAAATTTGTACTAACGAAACAAGTAAGCAAGCTCAAAACCGAAAAATTCAAAGCAACGACTGCGATGGCTAAATTGTTCTATAGAAAGGCAGTATTGATTTATTAGCCAATCGCAGACGAATAGAATATGGGTGTGGAAAAACAGAGCAATCGCTACAGTATATGTTGGGCTACGGTCTCTCGGAGTAAAGTTGAAAAAGTGTGACACACTGACATCCACATGTATTATATAGAGATATTTTAAATGATAATAATATAAATCAATGAATAAATTAGAAAAGAATAAAAGTATAAAAATATCATCAAAGATAAGAAAACATCTATTTATTATTATTTTTTAAATATAAACAAAATGTAACTGGACGGCTAAATTACCTAGCTGCTCTCTCGGGGCGGGTACTGTACATCTTTGTCCATGAGAATGAGTCGTGGGGAACATCATATCCGCTTATCAAGATTTCTTTTTTTTTTTTCATGTTTGAAGGATGAGGCAGCCAAGGCAACCTGGGTGTCAAATCTGGATACTTGGAAACAATCGGATTGCTCTAAGCGGACTGGGTTATCAGATCGGAAGATATTTGCAACTCCTTCACCCAACTGATATCATATCGGGCACATTTGACTGTAAGGCACGTGCCTTATAAGATAGGGTATAATTATTGGGTTTCATATATCTGTAACCCAGCGTCACTATCTTGGTGTGCTCCTCACTCAATAATAATAATAATAATGCATTGTTATGGGAGTAGGTTCGCCTATCGTCCAGTCCACATTCCTCGCCGTTCGTTTGAATAGGCGTTCGTTTGTTTCCTGTTTAGGATTGGGTTTCCAGTTCCTTCTCAAATCTATTTCAACTCTATATTTCTAACATCTCTGTCTAAACTCTGAATTTTTATTTACTACTTACATATTCTCAATGGGAGTCGATAAGTTTGCCTATCGTTTGGTTTATGCTCCTCATCGGTCTTTTGAATAGGAGTAGTAGAGGTGTCCTGTTTATGATCGGGTTTTTGACACCTAAAATTTGTTCATTATTTTTCACTCACTAGCCCCTTACGCCTTAGTGACATTATCGCCTTGTTTGGGGTGAATGGATTTTTTAAAAAATACTAGTACAGTGTAACCCGGATATAAGAGAGTTGTCGGGACCGGATAAGAAGTCTCTTATATCCGGGTTTCTCTTATATTCGGGTTTGGTCTATTATATATACATTAACACAGGCTCTAATTTGGGACCAGAGAAAATCTCTCTTATATCCGGGTTTCTCTTATATCCGGGCCTCTTATATCCGGGTTAAACTGTATAAGCAATTATTATTAATAAAATAAAAGCTACATTTACTTTAAAATTGTATTAATAAAATAAAAATTAAGAAAAATAAAATTATATATATTTTATATTTTATTTTATATGCGCAGTACTTATTGGAAAGTGCTTAATATCAGTGATAGAGCTCTAACATTCAGTTGTATGGATATGAGTTTGTAACGTTGGGTTTTGCGATCAAAAAAAAAAAACTCGTCTGATGATCACAAAACGTGAAACCCAGGATCACAATTTATAGAACTGAATATATATATATATATATATTCAGTTGTCTGTTGTATGAACAATAATCTCTCTCTCTCTCTCTCTCTCTCTCTATATATATATATATATATATATATATATATAGAGAGAGAGAGAGAGGAGAGAGAGAGAGAGAAAAGATTATTGTTCTTAGTTAAAATCAAGGAATGAAAATACAATATCAAAAATAAGAAAAGTTAGAAGAATGTTAAAATGACATCTGCGCCGTCCGGGACTCGAACCCGGGTCGCAAGAATGGGAATCTTGCATGATACCCCTACACCAACGGCGCTGCCTGGCTAAAAGAGCGAGAATTTGTCTACTTATTAAAGAAACATTGTCCGGTTGCATTCGTTTTATTTTGAAAGAGAAATGTGAGAATATATGCAAAAAAAATAATAGGTTCTTCATTTTTATTTGCATTTTTTTCACACGTGAAATTAATTTATCCGTTTTTTTTCGTTGACTAAATTAAATTTTTAAAAAATTTTATACAAAAATGAGATTTCAAAAACGAATATTTTAAAAATAAATATTTATATATTTAATTAGAAGCACATTTAAAATATAAACAAATAATTTGCAAAGCGATCCTCGAAAATGTAATTAATTTTATTTATTTTAATCATTACATTTTTTTTTAAATCTTTTTGTCCATGTCACGTTTTTCCCGAAGTAGTCGTCGTCGTCGTCGTCGTGATTGTCTTACGGGATGAATTATTTTTGCTAGCAAATAAATTAATTAATCCACACATCCTTTAATTTATTCATTTTCATTTAAGATAAACATTAATTTCTTTTTCGGATTTATTTTTTATATTCCGGGTGTAATTTCTAATCTATGATATACAGAAGATTTAAAAAGGAGACACGGTTGATGTAAAAATTCGTTACTGATCATCGACATTAGCGACCTTTTTCTTTCGTAGCTTAAATAAATCATTTTACAAAAAAACGTTTCATTCGAATGGATTTTTTAAAAATTTGTTTCTACAAAAAAAAAACTGCTTCAGATGATCAAACCAGCAACAATTAACTATTAAATTCAAAGTTATTTACATTTTCGTTCCAACTTTGTATCGTTTCCATGATTTTCTATTCCGTTTTTCACATTTTGCAGTTTTGATTCACCCGTCTACAAGCTTTTGTGAGTCAGGCCGCGGCCTCCGAAAAATCAATTAACAGTACACACTCGCACTTGCGCGCACATACATACACACAAACACACACATACATTCAGTTGCATGGATATATATATATATATATATATATATATATATATATATATATATATATATAGAGAGAGAGAGAGAGAGAGATAGATAGAAAGAGAGACATTTAGTGTTTTTCTGATATAAGTTTTGTAAAATAAATGAAATCTTACTGAGGAACTTCGTTTTTTAAATATTTTTTACATTTTTATGAATCATTTATTTTTAGAAATATCCTGTTCAGTTAACCTAACAAGACTGACCGCTAAAGGAACGGAGGCGTTCGAGTCAATTAACTTTTTTATTATATTTTTTTCTTTTTATATGGGTTACTAGTTAAATTTTGTTTAAAAATTCTCTATATAATAACATATGGTGTGGTGAAAACAGTTTCCCACAGTATATCTGGCACCAGGTCACATTTGTAAAACACCCAAGGATAAAACTCACCATCAATGGTTTGTGAAATTTTAATTTCTTCAGAATAAATATAATACTCATTTGGAGGCAGACAGTATTCTTTATTCATATCTATCTATCTATCTATCTATCTATCTATCTATCTATCTATCTATCTATCTATCTATCTATCTATCTATCTATCTATCTATCTCAGTTGGTTCATAGCTATCTATGTATTTATCTAGCTAGCTATCTCACTTTTACTCTATCCATCTAGCTAGCTAGCTATCTATCCCTATTGTTCATCTCTCTCTTTCTCTCTCTCTCTCTCTCTCTCTCTCTCTCTCTCTATATATATATATATATATATATATATATATATATATATATAAATATATTCCACATTTAGTGCTGGTGCTAATAAAATTGTGCTTGATGTATAATATCAGAGCTATCATATATATGTATATATATATGTTTACTTTGTTACTTTAATAATAGTATAACATAATAAATCAAATAAAATATTATAATTTAATTAATAATACAAATTTACAAATATTACAATTTAATTAATAATGTAACATGACATAACAAATTCAATATAAACTTTAAAAAAAATTTAATTTAATTTTGATGAAAAATTTACAACTGAAAGAAAAATCTACAACTGAAAAAATTATGACAGTTACAATTGAAGATATGAAGAAAAGCAAAAATTCATGAACATGTGCATGTAAAAGAATGTTAAATTCATGAATGAGCATATGTACAAAACAGATTGAAAAAGACATGGATTAAATTGGAAATATCATTTAAAAAATAGAACCCTTGAAAGAATGGATTACCAAAAAACTTTGAAGTTGGGGAAAACAACAAAAAATTGATATTTATTGTTAAAGTTAAACAAACATTTTTATATAATATATATATAATATTATTTTTTTGTTTAAAAATATGATTCCTTCGCTACATAAGAGTTCTCATGTTTCAAAAACGAGAGCAGAAATCATCCAAATAATTATTAAAATTAAGTTGAATTGAAGTGTTTAGTCTCGTTTCATCTTCTAGCGAAATTTTAGGAATAAGCTATCTTTTGGTTTACATGTGTTTTTAGGCATGGTCCGTTATAACATTCGTTATTGTGGGAGTGGCTAGGCTAGTTTTCTTCGTTAAGTGGTCAGAGAGTTAATTCTTATCTATAGATTCATCATCTTCTGAGAGGTTTTGCTAAGGTTGGGTAGGGTATCTATTTCAAGGCTATTTATTATATATATATATATATATATATATATATATATATATTTCCCCTAGCCAGGGGTGTTTGATTGATTTGAACCTTTTAAAATCCTTTATTCTACATCACTTGATAAGACACCAGAAGTGTTGAAACAAAATGACTATTTTTGTAGTGATTTTATAACATATTTATGTTATAATATTTGAATATATATATATATATATATATATATATATATATATATTATATATATATATATAGTTTATGCAAAACTAGGTAATCTGTATGGGTAGACCCAAGGAGGATGATATCCAGAGAGCTCAATGTAAATTCAGAGCAAATATGTTTGAATAAAAACAGACCACTTTAAGGTTCCATGTAATAAATTATTTCACCACAGCCCTTTTAAAGTGGTCTGTTTTTATTCAAACATATATATATATATATATATATATATATATATATACATATACTAATTATGCAGAAGCCAGCATGTAATCATGCCTGTTGGGTATTGGAATATTTTTCAGTGAATGCTCGATTTTGAACTCTTGAATAGTTGCTTATACCAGTACATATATTCACAAAGATCGTCACGAAAAGGTGTGGAACTCATGCCTGATATCAGGCCAAACATGGATATTTAAAAAAGTGCTCATTACACCTTTCAGATTAGAATGTGTAAATTAATACCTGCTCTCTCTCTCTCTGTCTGTCTGTCTCTCTCTTTCTCTCTCTATGTACTATACCCACAATCCCAAACAGGATGAGCCTAAGCTTGATTGGGAGCCCAGGGCAGTACTTTGTAACACTGTCTATCTTATCAAAATTTGCTTTTTTCTACCTACATTTATATACATTACAAATTAAACCAAGCCCACCTATTAGAGGATAAAAAATGTTTGCAAATTTTGATGTCATTCTTTTTCCATCCAAATCTTTGAGTTTATTTTGTTCATCAGTCAGTTATGTGCCATGTGTGATACACACTTAGGTGATCATGTATCTTTCGATATATGACTGATGAGGCAGATTTTTCCCATAGTAGGTTGTCATTTCTTTCTGCGGTAAACCAGTTGCCATCCAAGGCTACAGAACCTGGTCTGTCCTTCTATTTACCCCAAGCTAGGAGGAGGAGAAGAGGATTCATACCGTTTCCAAGGGTATGGTATTTACTTGATTCCCACTAAATCAAGATATGACACAAGGTCGATTAACGTGGGAGACCCGAGTGTTTCCACTCATAGGCCACTGGTCAAAATATTGGTCAGAGCTTGTCCAAGCTGGTCAGAGCCTAGTCAAAGCTGGTCATAACTTGTCCTAACAGGTCCAGGCCGAAGCCAGTCCAAGCTAGTCAAAGCTTGATCGAATCTCAGTCTACCACCAAGAAACGATCCATTAATTGTCAAAACCCCAGCCAAAAAAAGGCCGGGCAAGGGTATTAGCGTATAAGTGAATGTAATGGATTCGACTGAAATTCAAACTCAAGTCTCCAATTCCTCAATCCGAGCCACTATTCATTACTCCACTGTTCCTCATATTTTGCTCATGCTAAGTCTAAAAAAAACACTATAAAATTATGCTCTTTTTTATTCTTAATGTTGAATTAAAAATATTCCAATTTTTGACAAAGAAAATCTCAAGTTGATATTAAAAATTACTGCAAAACACTTTTCATTTATTTAAGATGGAATGATCTATTATGACATGTCTCTAATTTATATTTAGATACATTGTATTTATTTGCAATTTTTTCTAGTTGAATTTTTCATCTATATTGCATATGGTCCATTATTGTACATAATTCGGTTACAATAAAATTTGTATTTTATATGAATATTACTTTATAAAAATTGAAATATAGTAGACTAGTGGTCCCCGTATTATGAATTGGTGGCCCAGGGGTACAAGTTCCTTAACCAACCATATATATATATATATATATATATATATATATATATATATATATATATATATATATACTCAAGTATATAATTGGTGTATACAGAATGAATTCCAATAACCAACAATTACTATTCTTAAAAAGAGTGCTCAATACAAAGTAGAGCAGATATAATTATTTATTTAAAAAATTTATAACATAAATATGTTATAAAATCACTACAAAAATAGCCATTTTGTTTCAACACCCCCGGTGTCTTATCAAGTGATGATGTTGAAACAAAATGGCTATTTTTGTAGTGATTTTATAACATATTTATGTTATAAATTTTTTTGAATAAATAATTATATATATATATATATATATAGGGTCAGTTATATATATATAATCTTGGCATATTAAGGTAGCAATTTTATATTTATACAAGTTTGGCTGAAAAACAATCAAATTTCTTTATTTAAAATCTTTCTATTTAATTTTTCCACACTTCAGAAAATTTTCCAAACTTTTGCAAAGACTTTGGACATAGATTATTCAGTGTTTTCAGAGTGCTTTTGACTGCTATAAGCCATTCTCAAAGTATTCTGTCTCTTGATAAGGTTGCTTTCTTGACCTGCATTCTGATTCTTTGGTGTTTTTCAAGGCACAATCCGATTAAAAGTAACCCTAACCATAATACATATCTATGAAAGCTAAAACTACTCAAAAGTAGACAAAAGGCAATTTATATTCAAATTCTCTCCAGAAACCAGAACAATGGTTAAACAAGGAATTTTCACTGGTTTTCAACTACACTTACATAATGTGGGTACACATGTGTGTTCTTATGCACACTGATAAAATATATTTATAATAGTTCCCATATGACAAAGTTGTTCTTCTTGTATTCTTGCAGAGCTACTAAATAGCTTTGTTTTCCTTTGAAAGAGTGGAAGATGAGAGAAGTCACTTTTCTCATCCTGAATGTTAAAAAAGGTGCATACAAAAACAAACAAGTCTCAAAATTACTATGTGAAATTTGAATTTATTACAAGATATTAAAACAATATAACAACTTTTACAAAATATGCTTGCATAAAAATTTCGTTTTGTGCACCTTATTATAAATAAGGCAAGATAACGTCAAAATATATAACAGCTCTTAAAAAGATTTTACAATACAATCTTCAAATAATGAAAAAACTTTGTGAGGTCACTCACATTGTAGCAGCAGGAATAGCCTCACGTTCACAGGAAATAAAACCATATTTCATAGGAATAAAATATACACAGAGATAACAGTAAAAGATGTTTAATTGTACAGAATGGAACAAAATCCCAACTAAAATTTGCAAATCGTTAATTGAGAACTACAAGAAGAGGTTGGTTGCTGTAGAAGTGAATAATGTCTATTCTATAATGTATTAAATGAAGAATATGTATTCTTTTTTGTATTGTATGAATACTTTTTTCACACATTGAAATCGATTAATGGAATTTATTCCTATTAAATCAATTTTTTTTCCATTTTCTATGGATATTTAGTGATTATGCATCTGTCTACAGTTAATTATATGAAAAGTATGTTTATTTATTAGTTGAAAATACAATAAATTAAAAAACTGTATGTGTACGAATCATCATACATCCTACAATTTATTTATTTTGTGTACTGGTGTGTGTATTTTTGGTTACAAGAGTTTTTAAGGTTGCATATAATAAAAGGAAGAAGTTACTTCGTATTATCACAAGCAATGTCCCAGAGAGAGAAATTGTAACACTTAACCTGGTGGTCAATTCTAGGTTAGCCTGGCCAGTGGTGACTAGATGATCTGGCCCTTGCCACACGCCACCTATACCAGAAGATGTCTTGATTCTCAGGGTCATAGGACAATAAGTTGATTGCAGGGTCAATCCCATACTGTTTGATACTGTCATGAGTCAACAGTCATTGGTTGTTGTGCACACCTTGATCTTCCCATATTGTGTTTGTTGAGCACAGAGCTGGTAGGGATCAATTATCATCAGTAATTGTAGCATCAATTCAGACCACAGCGATTGAAATGCCTTAGCAGATGAAATAAAAATGAA